TCACAATAAACAACAGCAGTCCAAGGCAAGCAAGGTCACCCCATGTGTCTCTGATGTGGGAAACATCAGCGTTGCTTCCGAAGTTATTTCTGAGTTGCAACAGTTGCTGTGGGTTTTGTCCAACAGAAAACTGTCTGATCTGTCTCAAGAGGTTAGTAGTGATAATGTAGGTATGATCTGGATCATATGGTGTCCCCAGATTTTCAGAAGTGTCATAATGCTGTGTGATATAAACTTGGTCTATACTCTGCAAAGCTCTACGTCCTGTGTTCTGCTCCGTGACACGGATTATGATCCTGTCCCTGTTACTTCCCTCATACTCTGTTGCTGGGGGACGGACAACATAATCAGGAAGTGGCATGGATGTTCCTTGATAGAGATTGCCAACAGTGTAGTACCGGTATACATTTCCCCGAGGCAGTGGGTCCAACAGCCCCTCATAGTTACCATAATGATGTGAGCCATAATCTCCTCCGTTTGGGTCAAAGGTCAGCGATATGATATCGTTATTGTCGATGTCCACTGTGTTGGCAAACCAATGAAGCAGCACAAGACTGTGTTTGGGCACCAATTGACCAAAGTTGATTTTCTTCAAAGCATTGATTGAACGAAGCTTTTGTACAGCCGACACAGAGGTCAGCACAAGGAGCAGAGCTACACAGCAGATCATGACTCTTCCTGTCTTCTCCATCATCCTGTAGAGATATTTAAAAATGTTATTGCTTACATTAATCATCCTTGCATTACATTCTCAATCTATACTATATATTTTTAACTAGTGATGCATCAAATTATTATTTTGATGATTTGATCAGTAAGAATCAGGTTAGTATTACGAAGGAATACATCGTCCTCATTCAAATGTATTTGTAAGTTTATCTTATGTTAGTGAGGCTTCATGTTGCAATAGAAAGCGTTTCCTTGTTGAGTTGCGGTGGAGCGATGGTAACACACAGAACAAAACACTCACAAAAAACACTTCGTGTGGGATAACGCCTCGGCAAATACTAATTAAACAAAACTAACGTTCAGAAAATAAGAGAACTCACCTGAGTAAGTCTGCTGCCGTCAGGTATCTAATTTTCTCCCATTATTCATCCGTACTGTACATTCTTAATCTATCCTATATATTTTTAACTTGAGATGCATCAAATTACTATTTCATGAATTTTAAATCCATTCTAATGAATAGCTCACTCTAACACCTAATGGATAGGATGACAATTAACGCTCTGTAGTGATAGTAACATAGCTTGAGGTTAATTCTTCCCCAATCACGGGGATAGTGCCGCAGTAAATACTTAAACCAGTCTTCAGGAAAAAAAGGAAAGCTCACCTTAGTCTGTCTGCTGCCGTTAGGTTTCTGATCTGTGTTTGTGTGAGAGCCTGTTCAACTCCTCCTAGGTTGTTTCCCTGAAAATGAAACTTATGAAACCTACTCTGCAACGCTTGTTCTTTCAAACGGCTTTTTGAAAAACAACTTCCTGCTGTATTCAAGAAAAGAAAAGTAGTTCTCCCTTTCAGTGTTTTGGCATTTACCAGTCTGTAGAAATGCAAAAAGATGATTATTTTTATTCGCAACTTTTAGAGGAATTATTCTGTAAAGTCTGTCTGTGAGTCATCAGGGATTTCTTTTTCTATTTTTTCTTCAGGAAACCAGCCTGTGCATGTCCAGTTCGACCGTGAGACTGCAGAGGGACGAACTATGAGATTTGTAGTACTTCCTGGCTTATTATTAGCAGCATTCACTTATTACAGATCCATTTCAATTTACACGTGTTTCATGACTGCACATCTAGGTGTTTTGCTGCTGTTTTTCTTTATTCAAATGTTCATAATAGCGTTGTTGTAATTTACATTGGAGGTCACTGCAATAAATGAACACAGAATGAATTTTAAGATGAGATTTAAGTGCATGGTCAAGTGTGCTTCACAATATTCCAGTTCAACATAGGCAGTAGTTGTACCACTATTTTGTTCTTCAAAACTGATGCCAGCAGATCTCAATAGTCTGCGGAAAGTTCTGTCTCTGATGTGATTGTCTGTAGAACGAGGAATAGTTAAAGTTGTCCTCATGATTCTGCACATCGAACTTGCGTTCATCCATTTTCCTTAAACTTCAAATAAAAGCACGGACATCAGTCTGATTGTTAATTACAGTGTAATAAACACTATCAACACTACAGAAAGTATAAACAAGCTGTCCTGAACAGACCATAAAGCATCGGACACAGAATGAATCATCAGTGAGTTAGACTAGACGTGCTGGAGCTTGACTTTGTTGTTTGACTTAAGCTTGGAGCTCAATGACCGTGCCAGAGCAGTGCATTATAATGTACAATAAGACATTTCACTCGGATCAAATACTTTTAACTGAATAACATATAACCAGATATTTACACGATGCACATGAACGGTAATCTTTGCAGTCATAAATAATAATTGTATTATGATTATTATTCTCACAACTGACTCACAGGACACGGTGGGATATTAACTGCATTATCATGGGCGTAGTCATGAGCGTTGTATTGGTCATATACTCTGAGGCTACATGCATACATATCTATATGCAACCCCACCTAAACTGATTTCCACTGCTACCCTGCTTATCATTTATTAACCTGATTTTGCCATTGTTTATATTTTGGATTTACTCCTTTTTTTTAACTTGATTGTTATGTTAGACTTTAATATTTACACTCTTTATATTTACACTCTTTCCACTTTGTATTGTAACTGCTGCACAGCAATTTCCCTTGCGAGATATATGTGTATGTATATATATGTATGTATATATATGTGTATATGTGTATATACATACATACAGACACAGTGTTTTATCTCATTTTATCTGCTTTTTATACCATAACAATAATATAGTAAACAATGATATTAAGCATATGGTGGCAATACAACAAATGCAACAACAGATCCACTGCCGGATGTTCTGGGGAGGTGAGTTGTTGTCAACGACTGATACTCTGTTCCTAATCGTCCTGCTGGAATTTTGGTACACACAGTCATTGATATCCACGACAACATCAGCTTGGTTTCGAGAACCTCGAGGAACGTTGGTCACTCTTGCCGCAGTATCATTCAAATCACTTCTTCTGTTTTTTGGTCTGTTGTTGGGACGGTGGAAGGACGACTTCTCCTGGATCACAATAAACAACAGCAGTCCAAGGCAAGCAAGGTCACCCCATGTGT